TCACTCTGGAGCTTCTTGATGAATATCACTGGAGCAGAAGGTATAGCTACGGCAAATGTAAACTTAAGCAGCTGGTGTCATGCAGATCCCAGGGTTAAATGTAAAACTGCACGTTCTCTTTCCCCTTACTGTTTTGCTGTTGGCTTCATTATGTGAAAAAGCATAGCTGATACAATGCAGGAATTGTGTGGTTCAGCTGTAGGACATCAGAAAACTAGGTTTTGCTGGAGACATGACATTTCCAAGCTCATGTAAGGAAACTGAAAGGCTGCCTGGCATTGAGGAAAAAAGGCTGTGTTATTAATCAGTTCTGAAAAGAAAAAAAATCTAATAATCCCAGCTAAAGCACTGTTAGAAAGTGAAGGAATACAGAGTTGAATTGGTTCATGTGCCTTAGAAATGACAAACACTGCAAGGGAGTATCTAGAAAGGAATTAGGAATTGGCAAGGTACCAGCCATATTCACCCCGTCCAGCAAGATGAGGTATTGAAAAACTGGAATTTAAAGGTTAAACTCAGATCTTGAACTTCCAAGTTATTTCTGTCCTACCAGGTGAATGTGGTAGAAATATGCTGGAGCATCTATAGGTAGGCATGTCCCTGTCTGCCAGGGTAACAGCCTCAGGAAGAAGACTGAAGTATTAAATGGAATTCCATGCCCTGGATTTTTTACATGATCAAAGTACAACTTCTTACCTCTAGGACTAACCAGAAAAAAATGTGAAAGTATCTGGGTCTTGGGATGAAAAGAAAGCTTACTTACATGAGGAAGAGGAGTGAAACAAGGGAGTCCCTCCAGTCATCAGGGAGTAACAGTGCCTGGAGCTGAGGGCCATCAAGAACTGGGCAGGATGACCTGTTACTGCACCCCTGCTCTGCAGAGAGGGATGACATCTCTCTTTGTTCCTTTCTTATTTCTGTGGTTGTAACCCTGCTGGGAATGGTGTTACATTCCTCTCCAAGGACTTGTCTCCTGGCAGTTCTCAATGTGCTTCTGAGCTTCTTGAATCCCTGAGCAAGATCTTGTTTGTAGGATTCACTTTTTCCACCTAGTTCTCAGCTCATCTTAGTGCATGAGTATATGTTCTTCCAGGTGACTTCTGGCACTTTTCTTTGATCAGCTTTAGATTCAGGTTACACTGATGCAGGTGTGATGTGGGCTTCAGCAGTGCAGTCCCTGGATCCAGGATACATTTTTAGAGCATCCTGGATACTGGGCCAGCTCCTTCACTCTGACCTGTCCCATATGTTACACTGGTACAGAGGCTATTTCAAGGCATATTAAGCTACCAGATCAAAGACATAGAAGGAAAAGATGTGCCAGAGAAAACTGTTTCCTCAAATAGCCAGTTGTCCCCAGGGAGCTGCCTCAGGCTCAGGAGTGCAGGGAAGAGGATACTCAGTGGCCAGGTTGTGCCACAGTCTGGAAAACAGATTTCTCCTTGCTCTTTATTTCATAAATTGAAGTGACTCTGCATTCAGTCTGGCTGAGGACCTGGACTGTCCAGCCTGGGTGCTGTCAGCTTCATGTTGTGATGACAGTTCAGCACAGCATTGCCAACCCGTCAATGAGGTGATTGTCTTGCTCTGCTCTGCACTGGTGCAGCCTCACTGTGAGTCCTGTGGGCAGTTTTGAGCACCACAACATAAAAAAAGACATTAAGCTATTAGAGAGCATCCAAAGGAGGGCCAAAAGGATGGTAAAGGGCCTTGAGGGGAAGTCTTATGAGGAGCAGCTGAGGTCAATTGGTTTGTTCAGCCTGGAGAAGAAGAGATGGGAGATCCCGTTGCAGTCTACAACTTCCTCACAAGGGGAAGCAGAGGGGTAGACACTGATCTCTTTACTCTTGTGACCAGTGATAGGACTCTAGGAAATGGCATGAAGCTGAGGGTTTAAGTTAGATATTAGGAAAAGGTTCTTCACTTAGAGGGTGGTTTGGTATTGCAATAGGCTTCCCAGGAAAGTGGTCACAGCACTGAGCTTGCCAGAGTTCAAGAAGTGTTTGGACAATGCTCTTGGGCACATGGTGTGACTCTCGGATTGTCCTGTGCAGGGCTGGGAGTTGGACTCTATGATCCTAGTGGGTACCTTCCAACTCAGCATATTCTGTGAATAAATTAAAACTAGGTCCCCCAAGTCCAGAATGGATTTCATTATCCAGTGCTGGGCTCAAGTCAATTCGCAGCCTGAAGCCTCGCAAAGGGTGGGTCAGGGCCTCAGATCAGTCTGTGCCATGGCAGCTCTTGTGGTATTTGCAGGATAAAGACTTCAAATGATTCTTTTTAGTTTAATTTTATTTTTTAAATTTTTAATTGAACTCAGGCTGTTCAGACTGGGTCTGGACATCTATGGGATTGCTGGTGAGGGGCGTGCAGCAGCTGGCCCAGGGTGTGTTGCTATTGGCAGGTGTCTTCCTCAGTGCCACAGCACATCGCCTTGATGGCAGCATCTGGGAAATGGCTAGCTCTGCAGTGTGTGCAGCTATCCCAAAATGGTAGACTGCATTTAATGCCACAACAGCTGTGTCCTGTGGTGTCCTGGGAAGAGTCTCTGGGGTTGCTTCTCCTTTGCCATGCCACCTCACTGACCTGGTGCTTTCCTGCTGGAGAGAGGCAGTCTCTGAGGAACATGGTAGGGACTCAGGCACAGTCCCCAAATAACTTGCTGTCTGGAGGGCAACCTAAGGGTATGATGGTGCTGGTTTCTGGACACGTGAAGCATCTTAGTCATGTGTAGGCCTGAAAGGAAGGGGGAGGCAGGTAGTGTGCAGCTTCAGAGCCCTGCTGCACCGGGCATCTCCAGACAGTGTACAAGGCAACCACTGCTGATGTGGAATTAAAGCTGTCTGGTTTAGATATCACTGTGGAAGAATGAACACTTTGGATCAGTTTATGTCCTTGAAATCTCAAGGAGTTGACCTATAGTCTTTTCTGAGATCAAGTATCATTACCAAGTATTTTCTCTTTCTTTTCTGTCACCAAATGGGCAGGAGTCCACTTCATCAAGTAGTATCATTTCACTTCAGAAGTTACTTGTCTCTCTTTCTTGTCTTTTCCTTTTCACGCTTTAATGACCTTGTGCAGATCACAGTCCCTGGGCCCAGCTTCCTCTCCTTACAGCAGTGCTCCTGGCACTGCTGAGCACTGGCTTGCTCTCCCCTTTCTGGTCTCCTAAAGGGTGACTGGATTCCTGCTTGACACTTCATGATCTCTATCTTGCTGCATTTGCCTTTCCATGCTCAAGTCCCATCCATCACAACTGAGCCAGTTCTGCCAGGGGACATCTCATGCTGACACCTGAACCTCTTTGGTGGCAGGTTAGGCTGTATGACAGCTCACAGCTCATTGCAGCTTGTCGGCACTCTGCTGCAAATCCTCCTGTCTGTACAGGACATGCTAGAAGCTGTGGAGCTTCCATTAGCCTCTATGCCCTTGATTAACATGTATGCTTGTCTTCCCTTCTGCTGCTTATCTCCTGTTCCTTCGCACTAACAAATATGTTATATAATCTTCTGGGTAAAGAGATGTGCCAATGCCAAGAAATCCTTAACTTCTCTGTTTGTCATGAATAACCCTGTTCAGCCTGCCCCCACTGACCCCACTTGTGCAGGGGGTCTGGACCAGGTGATCTCCAGAAGTTGCTCCCAACCTCAGCTGTTCTGACTCTGTGACCCAGCAGTCCTATCTCACAAGCAGCTTCATTCAGGTTTTCAGTCTGGTACTCACATAGATTTGTCACTCCAGGATGGCAAGTGCCAAGCAACTGGGGCTGCTGGCTTGGCAATGTGTGTGTGTGTGTCTGCTTAGCACAACTATACTGCCTGGACCAAAAGTCTGCATCATCTGTAACCTGGCCTCTTGGCAGCTGAGAGTGGATGCTTTGGAAAGAGCAGGGCAAGTGAATGTTATCCTTCCATTTAATACACCTTCTCATTCTGGCAGTTATTGCTATGAGAGCTTCCATGAGTTTCCCCAACTGTTCCTTAACTCCTGCCTTGTGACTAGCTCTTGTGATTTCAGGAAGCTGCACAGTGGTTGGGTTTTTAGCCTTTTTATCTCTCCTTTAGCCTGTTTATCTCTCCTGACATTGCTAGTCCTCATCCCTGCTGTGTCAGTACCTCCTGCACTGGAGCAGCGTGGCGTGGATGTCTGTGTGCTGGGACTGGTCTGACTGGGCGGAGCAAGGAGAGCAGTGCACACACACTGGGAGATATGGTTGAGCTGAGGAAGGGTGGGAAATGGTTGCTGTGCAGACAGAAGTTGATTCCGCATGTTATAAATAGGTGACTTGTAAGTGTCCCAGGCCAGTTACACAGCAGGGATGTACTTGTGCTGCAGCCAATAACCATCTGCTCCCATTGCTTTTGGACTGATGTAACAGCTCCAGCTCTGTGAGCTTCCCATTTTAGGTGTAGTTTTATTTCTTTATTTCTTTGCTGCTTGTTCTTCATATTTCTTGATAACTCCCTTTTTTCTGCCCATAAGTGACATGCCAAAGTTTGTCCTGGTCCTATTCTCACTTACACTGCAAATTTTGTTTTTCTTTTGTGACAGGAGAAGTCTTTTCACCTTGCTCCCTTTCCCCTCCAGCCTTTGCTTCCTCATGTCTATGCTGGAAGATGTTTGTACAGTGGCAGATTTTTCTCTTGCATTTTTATCTGTGGTCTTTGTGTGCTGTGTCAGCCCTGACCAGATGTGCCAAAACCAGTAGTCTGTGGGATCATCACTGTCACTGCAGCCAGCTCTTGTTCTTCTGGTGCTTTGTCTCTTAGGCCTCTTCCCTTCCTGATCTATATCCTAGTAGCCTATTCTTCCTAGCAGGATTAATAGTTAGGTTTCTGTCATGCAGGTTTTGCTTAGTCTCTGCCTTTTCCATCCCTGGGGAAGGATGTCTGCCTTCCTTGGTTCTCACTCCATTAGGTGATGGGACTATAGAATGAATTTGTCTTGTGCTGTGTCATGAGGCTGGGTTGTAATGGGATGTCTCACTCTGCCTCCAGCCTACGAAGCTGCTTCCCCTGCTATGATGCCAGGGCAGATCCCCGACCCGTCCCTGACGGCTGGCGCACTGCCTGGGCTCGGCCCCTTGACAGGACTGCCTGGCACAGCCCTGACTGCTGAGGAGCTGAAGTGCGCTGATATCCGCAATATCGGGGCCATGATCTCACCGCTCCACTTCCTGGAGGTGAAGCTTGGGAAGAGACCCCAGCCTGTGAAAAGTGAGGTGAGTCTTGTGGGGACTGCTGGCTGCAGGTGACCTTGCAGGGTTGTCTGCACTTGACTGGGTTTCCCTCTTGCCTGTGCTTCTCTGTCCTACCAGGGTGGCCAGCAGTGTGTTTTATAAGCACGTCACGCTGCCTGTTTGATGTGCGTGTGGTTGATAGCTGCTCCCGTACCTGCCTCTTCCACCTGCCTGAACTTTTGTCCCTGCAGCACTGGCTGGCAGTGGTGGCCTCATTGTCCCAGACCTGATTGGTCCCATGCAGCCATTGGCAGCCAGCTGAACTCAAATCCTGCCTGTGGAGTGGGGTCTGGTGCAGCTGTCATGTCCCTAGGTTGGGGCACGCACCCAAAGGATGAGTCGCACAAACTGTCACCTGTGCCAGTCAGGGCCTTGGTGCTTCTGGCATTGGTGTTGCCTCTCCGGTGGGGATGAGGTGCATGGGCCAGTGGTGCAAAGTGGCAGCAGTGACTCAGTCTGTGCTGCAGGCACTGCTGGCTGGGAGCTGTCCCTGCCCGCCTGCTCGGAGTAGGCCCTTGCCTCACCTCATGTTTCCTGGCATGGGGAAGGTGGGTGACTTCTGCTTGGTACCACAGGCTGGCACATCAGAATCAGGCTGAAGGGACTAGGTAGACAGTCGCACAGTGTTTTCCTTGCATGGTTGTCCCATGTGTTGGTTGTCCAGTCTTTGACTCTTTTGACTCTGGCTGTACAGGTGGTGAGTGTTTGCACCTCCCACTGCCTGCAGATGGAGCTGATAACCCACCAGTCCAGAGGTCCCACGTTGGTGAGGATGGTGGGTGCTCTCAGAAGGTCCAATAAACAGCCCTTCTGAACAGTGCATTTGCTTGTATGTGAGGTTACCTCGGATGATGCCGTGGGAGGATGGGGTGATGTGTGTTCTCTGGAAACAGAAGCAAGGAGGTGCTAGATGATGTGAAAAGCTGCCTGTGATGAGCTGTGAGCTGAAGGGGGTAAAATAGCAGTTCCAGGGAGCAACCCACTCTCCAAATGGTGCTGACACTTGATTTAGCCCAACTCTTTTGGCAGAAGAGCAGCAGCCAGGCTGACCTGTGGGGAGGGTCCCCATTCTTTCCCCCTAGCCTCTTGATGTGGACTCCTGTGAGGAGAACTGGTACAATGGAGTCCATCTGATCATCTTGCACAGGAGCTCTGTGCCCAAGGGAGGGTCCAGTCAGCTTGTGTAGCCTGGAGATCACATGAGGAAGGACTGGGCAGCCCTGCAATGGAAGGAGCGGGGCTAGGATGCCGTGGGAGGACACTGTAAGGGCCTGGGGGATAGTGATGGCTTTGGTCCCTCCATGGACAAAGCAGTCATGGATTTGCAGCTGAAGCCAAATTCTCTTGCAAGCTCTTGGCCTGGGTATCCTGCAGCAAATGGGACTGTAATGCCCACCTTGCTTCATGGACTGGGGGAGAAAGGAGTCCGTGGCTATGCTGTTTTTCTGGGCCCAGCTCCTTTCCTGGGGCATCTCAGGCACCTCTGAGCTGGCCCTGCAACAGCTGCTTTTGCTTTTTGTGGGCACGGGTATGTGATCTCACTGGCATCTGCTTAACAGGGACAGGGTAGTTCTGCCCCACAGCAGGTACTGAATGTGCTGAGTGTCCTCTGAGCCAATTTTTAAGACACCATGTGGAGGAAAGATAAGAGGAAATCCACTGACAGGCCCTGCATGACTGCCTTCCCCGTAGGTGGTTCCTCCCCTACATGGCCTGTGAATCTGAGGAGCTGAAGACAGCAAATGGAGCTGCCCTTGGCAAGGCTTTGCAGCAAAAGCCTGAGGGAGATGAAGCAGTAGCTGCTTATCCCATGAGTAGCCAAGAAGCTGCCCACACATAATTTTGCAATGCAGCCTGCAGCTGCTTTCCTCTTGCAGGGAGCCGGAGCCCAGGAGCACTGGGTACTGGCATGGCATGCTTTATGTGATGCCTGGGAGGGCAGGCTGCTCCCTGTGAGTTTGGGCACAGGCAGCTCACTCTGTTCTGCTGGGGGCACCAGCATCTCCTGGCATTGGGGTGTTTGTGCCTGGGAGTGCACACAAAACCCCCACAGTGGGTATTGGGTGCTGGCTTCCCCACAGGGTGATGGACAGCCTCACTGGGTAAGCTGCTGTCTTCTTGGGGTAGCTGTAGAGAGGTACTGCTGGGCTCCTCCATCACTGCAACCTTCCTGGGATGCTTCCTCTGGGGCAGAGCCCTGCCTCTCAGGTGGATGATCACCTCGGTCTCTGAGGCTGCTGACTGAAGCAATTCAGGAGGCATACCCACACCACCCACAGGGATGCCCTGGAGATCAACTGCTTAGACATAATATTTGCTGATATACCATCACTGGCCCTTGTGCATCTGAGTAGGGTCCTAACCCCCAGCACCAAGGCCATGTCACCTTTCTGAACTGAAATCAAGCAGAAGTAGATGGGGAAACCTGTTTTCTTGAAGAGAGCTTCTTTGCCCTGAGAAGTTGTGGATTCCCCATCCCTGGAAGTGTTCAAGACCAGGCTGTGTGGGGCTTTCAGCAACCTGCTCTACTGGAAGGTGTCCCTGCCCATGGCAAGGGGATTGGAATGAGATGATCTTTATGATCCCTCCCAACCCAAACCTTCCTGGTTCTATGAAGTTACAGGAGCTGTGGTCAAAAAGGAGAGCCAAGAGTCCAAGTGGCCGCTATCTGTGCTGAGCCAACTTCCTTGAGCATCTGCACTCGATCTTAAGGACACACCCCTCACAGCTAGGCCCTCTGCAGGATAGAGGAAAGCTGAAGGGGACAGGGACAGTCACTTATTCTGTGATTCCTGTTGAATGGAGCAACAGGGCATGGAAGTATGTCAGGCAGTTCCCAGGGCTTGTGCAATTGTTGTTTGGTCTTCCAGTTTGTTACAACACGAGATGTACTTTTTAGCAAAGTTTGGGGGTGTTTTTTGAGCTCTGCAGCTGTGAGCACATGTTCCCTCTCTGCACCCTCCCCATAATCCTTGAACTAAAAGGCCAAGAAGCTGTCTTAGGAGGAGATGGATGGTTGTTAAATGTGCAGAGGGGGATCGTGGCTACCCTGATGTCTACCTCCTCTTAAACTCTGTGAGGAAGTTTTTTAAGAGCTGGCAGCAGAGCATGGAGTTAGAGCCCTTCTGATAATTTCTGCTGTCACATGTCACATCTGAATTATGTGGTTACAGTGTGAGCTATCCATTTCTGACTGGACTTGGGGTATTAGTGCAGTTTCCGTCCTAGTTCTCCTAAGTGTGTTACAAGGTTCCCCATGACACTGCTTTGGCAAAGGAATGGTGGCAGCCTGGCATTATGGAAGTCTGAGCATAGCTTGGGCTGACTTTGCTTAATATTTTAGCTGAGGCTAAAATATTAAGCAAACTTTGGTATAATACTTGGGAAGTAAGGTAGAGAAGATACAAAATCTGTTAGTGCTATAAAACTTGGACATTGCCTTCTAAAGCATGCCACGTGCTGCATATCTGATACGCAGCTTATTTGAGGTACCCCCTCACCTTAACTTTGCTGAGTCCATGTTTTATCCTGTCCTTGCACATCACATTGAGATGTTTTGCTTAGTGGGTTTTGGACTTGGTGAATGTTAGCACTGTGCACAGTTCACTGTGGATGATGGCACCTGCAGCTTTCATTACCAGCAGGAACTTGGTGCACCTACATGTGGGTAGATCTGGAGGACATCAGGTATCAGTCAGTAGGAGTGAGGCAGTTCCGTCTGACATCTCAAGTTTCAGAGTCCCAAGTGTGGATGAAGGCACCGAGGACCTTTTCGTCTCTATCCATGCTACAAAGTGTAACCTGGGTGCTGACTTCACAGGGCTTTCCAGAACTCAGATTTTTCTTGAAGGAGCTAGTTTGGGTTCTTGGATGTAAGCATGCCACAGACCATTTACACAGGCTTTGTAGGAAATATCCCTAAATATTCTGATTATGGGTTTCCAACCCATAGGGCTTATTGGCCTGGCCTGTGTGGTTTGTGTCAGAGAGCATATGGTGAACAGTGCAGGCACTGCTGTGTCCTGCTTCTTTACAGGGTCTGCAGGACCTGTCCCCACTTTACCATGGTTGCCCTGTGACTCAGCCAGCACTGAAGCTGCAGCAGACGGTCCCAGGCATTGGAGTGGGGGGAACAGCCAGGCCCAGCTGGCAGATCTTTCAGGTTTTTCTGCCTCCAACCCTTGGCTGCTTGTGTGATGCTTTAAATGACTGCTCACAGACCTGTGCCTATAGATGTCTGTGTGATAAATAGTGACCATCTTAGTGGGAAGGACTCTATTCTCCTTTGCCCTTTCTCAGGCAGGGAGAAGCCCTGTGAAGGGTTGTCTGTCCTCTGCTAGCCAGGCCCTCAGCTGTGGATGCTGCGCTGGTCTCCCTCTCTGTGTCCCCACGAAGTGGAGTTAGAGGCTGTAGCAGCAGCACACCTGGTTCCTGGTGAGGATTAGATCGTGTCACTGGAGGCCAATGACATGGGTGGCTGCCATCTTGCCCTGCCACCGGTGGGGCTGCCAGGGGCTCACCCCTACCTTCTGCCCCAACCCACACCTGCTAGCTCTGACCTGGGTTTCTCTGTCTCATTGCAGCTGGATGAGGAAGAGGAGAGGAGGAAAAGACGCAGGGAGAAAAACAAAGTAGCAGCAGCACGATGTCGTAACAAGAAGAAGGAGAGGACGGAGTTCCTGCAGCGGGTGGGTGCTCCAATCTGTCCCAGGGTGCAGCAGGGACCTCCATAGAAAGGTGCTGCAGCTGTAGGCAACATTGCCTCCTGAACTGCCCCTCTGCCTCCCCTTGCTCCTGTGCCCCTTTCTGGGAAAATACAGGCCCCCACTTTTCATGAGGCTCTGAAGGTGGTGGCCATGTATATGCCAAGGCAGAGCATACCTGTGGTGCCAGGGCTGGAGAGGGCTGGAGGTGGGCTCTGGGCTTTTGGTGAGGGAGGGATGATAGTGTTCCTGCCTCAGTGCTGGAGCAGGAGCACCCATATGAGCATGGCACAGGATGGGCTGACATTAGGCTGGTCCCTTGCCTGAATTCCTGTTCAGAGCCAGATGCCCACTCACCCCTGACCCCAAGACAGAAAAACCATCACAGCACCTTGCTGTTTTTCTGCAAAGAGTGGTGAGACATGGGCAAATGACACCGTGGGGGACAAGGAGTCATTTCACAAGGGCAGGTCCTTGCAGGTGCCGGAGGTGAAAACCTAAACATAGGTTTGTTCCCCAGCACCCTTCCAGACCATGGAAGGCAGCCAGGCAGAGGTTTTGCTGTGGTGCAACAGAGACCTGCCCCAGGCAGTGGCTGCGTATTTCCCTGCAGTGGCACTAGATAGCACAAGGCAGCAGGGCTGGGAATGAACTGCCCGGAGGGACCTGGTGCCTTGGCAGGTCTTCAGTCCGCTCCCATGCTGCAGGGGCTGAGGGGCAGCACTGAGCAGAGGTGGCCTGATGCCTAAATTGTTTCTCCTCGTATCTTGTCCTGCTGGAGTAAAGTCACATGTGGTTGTGTTCCTGTCCTGCTAGGAGTCCGAGCGCCTAGAGCTCATGAATGCTGAGCTGAAGGCCCAGATAGAAGAGCTGAAACAGGAGAGGCAGCAGCTGATCCTGATGCTGAACCGGCACCGTCCCACCTGCATCGTGCGGACAGACAGCATCAAGACTCCCGAGAGTGAAGCCAACCCACTGCTGGAGCAGCTAGAGAAGAAGTGAAGGTGGCACTGGGCCAGGAGGAGGAGACAGTGGCGCAGGGTGTTCCAGGGTCTCTAATGTATGTACTGTATGAAGAACTGTGCACCCAGACCTGGCGCAGTGAGGACCCAATGGGCTTCCTTGGGAACTATGGACCAAATATGGGGACAGAGAAGATCAGGAACCTGCCAACCATGTACTCTGAGGCTGAACCTGGGAGCAGGGCTAGTGGCACCAGTGAGGGCAACCTCCCTGTGATACCTCATCACAACCCTCCAGCCTGCTCGCAGCCCTGGGGACTCACGATGCCACAGCATGTCCTGCAAGGACCACACACCCCGTGGGTAGCAGGGGCTGCAGGCAGAGGAGTGGCAGCTGCACGGTGCCCACCAGCACCCTGCCCAGAGGCTGCTGCTGCTCCTGGAGCATGCTCCAGCAGGAAACCCAAACCCAAGAACCACAAACACTTGATGCAGCCCCGTCTGGTGGGCAGGCCTGTCGGGGCTTGGTGGCGCAGGCGCCCCCCACAAGCACACTCAGTATAATGTTTACAGCCCAGCTGTCCGTGTCGGCCGTGCTTTTGAATGCACATTTTTACACTTTTTTAAAGTATTTTTTACAAAGTTTTTATACAGCAATCTCTATATGGATTTATATAATCACTAGATGTGATCCTATAGAAATGTATGTTATGATGGTCTGTTTGATACAAACACATATGCCACAGTTATCTCCATTCTGTCACTTGTCTGGTAGCATCCAGCTCCTTTCCTGGCATGCTGGGAAGGGGGTCCAAGCTGCCCTCTGCAGTGGTGTCGCTACCTTCTCCATCCATGTATGTCCTTCATAATATTCAGTTCTGTATCTCTCAGTAAATGTTACATTTGCCTATGCCCTCCTCCCGTAGCTCTGTTTGCGTCAGGCCACGGTGGGCTCTGGGTGGAGCTCGGCACTGTGGCAGCATGTGCTGGGGCTGAACATAGGGGGTGTGTTCCTGGCTGAGTGGTATGGTGGAGCAGGTCCCAGAGCTGTTTTTTATGATTGTCTGAGTTAGTACCTGTGGGCTGGGAAAATTCAGCCTAGAGGAGCTGGGAGCCTTGGAGGCAGCTCTGACTGTTGTCAAGCAATAAATAGCTCAGTAGCTCAGGCAGGCATGGCTTGCCAGCTGGAAAGGCCATCTCATCCTTACTCGGTCCTTCTTGTTTCAGTCCCAATTACAGCAGTCTGAACTCATTTCAGGGATAAGAAAGAGATGGGGGAGCTATCATGATGTCTTTGTGGTTGCGATCCCTTTATGCATGGAGGTGTAGAATAGTTCTTTTGGGTCTCTGCCAGGTCCTAGCTTTGCCCCTAACTGACATGCTGGGAAAGCTCCTAAAATCTTGCCTTGGGCTTTGGCCAGTGCTGAACACAGGGGTGTGGAGGTTGAGAAGATAATCAGCCAGGTGTGCTGCAGGTGCTAGAACTGAAAAATCAGCATCCCCATATGAGTAACCAAGCCCTTACACTATGGCTGTGTTCCTGACTCAATGGTATGAAGGCAGTGGTCTGGACTGGGGCAGACCCCAACTTCACATATGTGCACCACTGAGGGCTCTCAGAGGAGCAGTGGTGCACCCAGTCTTCTCCCAGTGTCCAACCCATTTCCATTGTGGATGAGGCTACTTTGATGCCAACTGCAAGTGAAAAGAAGCTTTCAGCATCTAGTACAGATGCGCACTCCAGCCAGGAGCACTGAAGCTGTTTAAGAAGATGAGTTTGACCTAAAGATGACAACAGCATATGAGGAGGTCTTCCTTGGGCATGACTACTTCTCTAGTGTGTGTTTCTCTCTGTAGCCTCCTTTCCTAATCCTTAACCTCTGGGGATATCTGACATTAGTCCTTTCTCTTCTTCATACTTTCTTCCTGGATTTCCCCTCCCATTCCATAACTTCTTTCTTTGAGAGCTTGCAAAATGCTGCCAGCTGCCTTATTTAGTGTGAAGCATGTTAGATCTGTTAGAGACAAGGTTTTTGCCCTGGGAGAACTTGTTGGCTGAGGTTCTCTAGAGGGATAAGCAAGGGCAGGACCTGAAACAAAGCTGGTGGAGAAAAACAGTGTCTGGCCTCGCTGCCACTGCCTGCTGTGCAGCCCTTGAAGCTGGGCAGCTGTCCATCTGCTTTTCCTTCTGCCCAGACCCTGGAGTAGGTGGCTCAGATGTGACCCATTCCTCAGCTGCTGTCAGGAGCCCATTGTCATTCTTTGAAAAAATGCGATACTTCTTATCAAGCTCTGCTGAAAGGACATAGAGCACTTGCTGGGCCTGCTTATCTCTTCAGGACTTTATTTCCCTCTGCAAAGTGTACATGGTAATGAATTTTCAGATTCCTGCAAGTATCACTTTCCTCTTTTGTGGTCAGCAGGTACTCCCTGTGGAATATCAGATCCAGCCACAGGCATCCTGTGTTTTTTGCTCACCTGGAGAGCTTGTCAGCTGTCACACCTTTCAGGAGCAGTGGCAGTGCTGTGGAGGCAGACAATGGCCTTTCTCTGGCAAATAGCCACACTGCAGTAAAAATGTCTGCTATGAAAACAGCTGGCTTAGATGAGAAACATAAAGTGCCCTTTGAAACCAAGCATGCTAGAAGCAGTGGCAAAGGCAGCAGCTGAAGAGGGATGGATCTGCATCGGATTAATGCTTAGCTATTCCAGCCAAGGCTTGGGCAGGAGCTATCTGAGTCCTGGCAATGCCCAGGGGTTAGAATGAGATGATCTTTGAGATCCCTTCTAACCCAAACCACTCCACGATTCTGTCCTCCAAACAACCTTCTGCTGCCTGCCCTTCTGCTGCAAACCAAGGGATTTGCCACTCAAAGTTTAGGGCATTTCTTTTCAGGAGACTTAGTTAGGATATAACCCATTGAAGTTAAAGTTTGAGCCCCTTCCCTTTTAAGCCAAAGCCTGTGAGTATTGAAGGGAAAAGGCTCCATCTCTGTGTAGTCCTGGGGGCTGCAAATCCCTCCTGATTCCTGTAGGAGACAGGCTACGTGATGTTCCTGAGTCTGGTAGCATGTGTCCTCTGGAAACCTAGCATCCACCTTAGAAGAGTTACAAGTTTTGCTGTGGGAGAGGCTGTCCTGCCGAATACATTGCAGGCTGGTGCATTTATAGTGGCATCTCCTGGGCCTCGGGAGGAGCAGCAGGCACATGCCAGGCACAGCCTATGTTGCTGTATGCCAGAACGTGCTTCCAAACCAAAATAGCAATGATTGTACCTGTGGCAGTGTCCTCCCACCTGGAAGGTACTGCGAGGGCTGCTAATGTGGATTTGCTTTGAAAAGCCAATGGGCACTTCTCAAAGGGCCGGAAGGCACCTCCTGGCCATTCTACACCACCATATCCAGTGCTAGGTGTGCTGTGGGCCACTAGTGGGTGGAGCTGATGGGTTCTCGTATGCCGACGGTGGTGCTGGAGCCGATAGCCCGATAGATGTGGGGTGCTGCCAGCCCCACGTTCCCGGTCCAGCCTGTCGTAGGGCTGCATCCCTCATGCTGATGGGCGCACACACACACACACACACACACGTAGATCCCTCTCGTGGGTGGCTGTGGTTGGCTGTAGGCAGAGCCGCAGTTGCTGGCCCTGGGCGCAGGAGGCCGGAGGACGGCAGCCGCTGCTGCCACACGGCTCTTGTCTCGCTCGCTGGCTGCTCCAGCCAGAGGCTCGCTCGTGCTCACGCAAACCTGCACACGAAGTGGCTGGAGACAGGCACGCAGGAGCCTGTCGGCGGGCGGGATGCTTCAGTGCCTGGGCACCGGGCAGGGACCGCGCGGCCGGTTCTTCTCCCTCTCCCTGTGCCCCGGTGCCGGCCGCTCTCGTGGCCTCTCCGTGTCCCGCTGGCGTGCGCTCCTCAGGCTGCCCCCGGCCCCGCCGCTCCCCCCTGCGCTCCGGCGGGACGGGAGGAGGCGGCGGGAGCCGGGACCACCGGCAGGAGGCGCGGCGCCGCCGCGGGAGCAGCGGGGCGGGCGGGGCCGGGCCGGACGGGGCGGGCGGTCCCGGCACCGCTCCCGCTGGGACACGGCCGGGCGCGGATCCCGGAGCTTGGGAGAGCGCGCCGAGTGCTGACCACCCCCAGCCCAGTGGGCAGCCCAGAGCGGGTCCAGAGCAGCCCCGCGGGAATGGGCAGAGGGCTGGAGCGCCTCTCCTTTGAGGAAAAACCGCGTAAGCTGGTGCTGTTCAGCCTGGAGAAGAGGAGGCTCTGGGGAGATCGTAGAGACATTCTAGTACTTAAAAGGCCTATGAGAAAGCTGGAGAGGGACTTTTTACCAGGGCCTGTTGGGACAGAACAAGGGGCAACAGTTTTAAATTGTAAAAGGTTTTGGATTGGATATAAGAACTTTTTAAAATTAGGGTGGTGAGGCACTGGAACAGATTGCCCAGAGTCGTGGATGCCCCAGCCTGGAAGTGTTCATGGCCAGGCTGGATGGAGCTCTGAGCAACCTGGTCTAGAGGAAGGTGTCCCTGGCCATGAAGGGGGGTTGGAACTAAATGACCTTTTTTAAGATCTCATCCAACCCAAACCTTTCTGTCATTCTATGGTTCATGGTGCCATCCCATGGTGCCAGATGGTTCTTGTCAGACATAAGCCCACTCAGCAACATTGGTGCTTCCCGGCCATTTCACCTGCAGGTCCCTCTGCTTCTGAGATACCTGAGGTGCCTCAACAACCAGGACCACCAGCAGGAACTCCTGATGTGCCTACAGCCCCCTCTAGCACATGTCTATCTCCTGTTTTGTGATATCTACATTCAAGTCATACCCCTTGTGCTCCTTCCCACACTCCATAGTTCAGACCAGAGCTCTCCCCAGGGTGCCATGGTACAACATTTTTCCTGAATCCCAAGCAGGTGAGCCCCATCACTTTTCCACTAGTTAGATGCTTGTCACATATCCCTGGTGTCCTTCCCATACTATCCCAGTTTCCTCTGCAAAGCCACTCTTAACTCTTCTCTCCCAGGGAAAGGTAGGTGCCACTTTGCCTCAAAGCACTGGGCCTGAGGCACTGCAGGTGTGTTGGGCTGAAGATCCAACTACAGTAGGTTGGTGTGGGTGCTCCACACTGCACACCTGACTCCCTTCTTCTTGCTGAACCCCTGAGAAGTGGCAGGGCCAATGAGCAGCAGGAACTCAGTTTCCCCAGAAGGGTCTCTGGTCTTGCCATCTCTTCACCCCCTCTCCTGCAATCAGCTCATCCCAAAGTGGTTGAGCAGCACATCATGCTCCCAAAGCTTCATGTTAGCTCTCTTTGTTTCCTCCTTCTCTCACCCTCTCCCCACCTGCTGCCCCCATCCCCTTGTAGGTGAGAGTCTCTGTGTGCTGTCATGGGAGCAAAGGCATCTAACATCTCCCTTGGCCTGCAGCTGGTCACAGGCAAAGGATCTTTGGAGGCCGTTACTTTGCAGTTTTTCACAGTATTGTTCTCACTTTGTATTTGAAAAACTGCCTCCTCTGCCCTTCTCGTCAGGGGCCAAGGGCAACTCCGTGACACGGTGGTGAGTGGTATTAACTAACCTTTGCTAGTGACCTGCCTCTCTTGTTTCATTTTGAGCCAAGGCCAACAGGTATTCATTTATCTTTGTCCTTATTGGTTCATCTACTCATTTTGCTGTAAAACAAGCCTCAGAAATCCCCAGCTTTGATATTTACCAAGAGCTGTGAAAACTGCTTGGTTACCATGCATGCCAGACTATGTTGATGAGTACTGGCACCAGCATGGCCCATGACCGAGTGCAGGACTGGAGCCAGGGAAAACTGTGTTGCCAAGATAATCGCTGAGAAATGAGAAAAACTAACTAGTGCTTCCCTGAGCCTGCAAGTATCACTTGGTTCCCCATGCTGTTGTACACTTTTTGGTTATTTGTGATCACTGTTTGCTGGTGACTGAAGCATGGGGGTGAGACAGTGGGATGCGGGTACAAGCCCTGGGCCTGCATGGAGGCACCATGCTCCTGCTGGGCTTTGGAAACTGCCCTGAGGGCAAAGCAGGCTGGGTTACCTGTCCCTGATTAAGGGCGATTCTCCACACACTGTACAGTTGGTGGGGTGGCCAGGGGCCATCTCCCATCTGAGTGACGCAGGCAGGCAGGGCAGGTGCTGTCAGAGGTATAGCCAGACCTACTGGCAGTGAGCTTGCTGTCAGCATCTCTGCCACCAACACTTTCCATCTGAGGAAAAGATCCTTCCCTACAGCCAGGAGGTCTCCCTGGCTCTTGCTGGGCAGGACCACAGGGAAGGGCTGGCACCTTGGACAGCATGGCTGGGATTTGCCTTTTCTCTGCATCTGGTGCTCAAGAAGTTATTCCCAATTAACTAAAGTGTGGTGATGAAAAACCTTCCTCCAGATGTCCTGCTGCTGCGTTACAATGGGTTTACTTTGGTTTGGCATTTTGAAGTGGAGTGAGCAACTCAAGTGGACTCCAGTCCAGGGGTGCATTTGGCAGAGTGGGCAGTGGGTATGACGGCCTGTGGTGATAAGCTCTTTGTGAGCAAAGCTAGCTCAGGGGGGAGGGAGTGAGCTGTCTTGTATCAAGACTGCTCTAATTCTGATTAACACCATCTGCCAAGGAGTTTATTGAACTTCAGTCACTTCCAAATTTAATGCAGCTTAGCTGTTCTGAATGTATCTGTGCAGACTGACTTTTTGTTCTCCAACCCTGTATCCTGCTGTCCATGCACCGTGTGTGAGCAGGGTGCCATAGGTTTTGGTGAACGGTTAGCCCCTGTGGAGGAGGAAAAACTCTTGCCATTGAAGGCAGGAGGTGGGTCACTGTGGGTAGGACTGATAGCTCCTCATCCCTGTTCAGCCCAAGGGACTCTGCTAGACAAAAAGGCCCTGTGTTAGCAAGCTGATGGACTTTTCCAGCCTTGGCTCCCAGAATTGCAAACCTAGAGCTCCTAAGAAATACCAGCAAGAAGCTACATCCAGAAGCTTGCACAGGTTTCAGCAAAAGCAGAGGTTGGGAGTGTTTGACGAGGTTTCACTGCTGCCTGTCACGTCTCAGATGAAGCTTCAGGAACAGGATCCTTTGCCAGTAACCACCACCTTGTGCTGATGTTATCTAGTTTCTGCAGAATGAACTTGCTGAGTTGTCATCTGTGGCACTCTCAGGGGAAGTCCTGACTCCTGACACTGCAGTTCCTGCCTGTGCTTTGCCATAGCCCCAATTCCAGCAGCATCATCTGGGCTGGTTGGATTTGCTGGACACCTGCTTGTCCTGAAATGGCATGGGCCGTCAGGAGGAAGTGGGCAGCAAGGCTGTGCTGCAGGCCTGTAGGCTCCCAAATCCAGTGAAGTCACTAGGCAGGCTAACACATAGTTTCTGACTGAGGATAAAATGGCTACTGACAGCTCATTGCAAGGTGATGCTGGACACCCAGTGACCAGTTAGCAAGAGGGGGTTTGCACTAGAGCTAACGTGTGGGTATCAGCAAGTGCCTCTCAGTACATGGGCTACTGGCTTCTGTGACAGAGGCAAGCTCTCTGGGTGCCAGACAGAGGCACTGCTGCATTGCGCAGACATTTGCTGAGTGAGGCATCCCTTTTCTTCTGTGCAGACTTTCCCTACAAACAAAGTGACCTAATTCACTCACCAGCTTCAGCCAGCAGATAATAGATGAGTAGCTGATAGGTGCTGGTGCATGCTGGCACTGCTGTGTGACCAGGCAGGATGATGGTATCCCATGCTGCCAGTGTAACAGACTGGCAGAACCAAACTCACTGGTTCAAACAAAATCCCTTGACTGCAGGCATGAAGTGTTCTCTGTGTCTGTGATGTAGATGCAGGCGTCTGTTCTGCTGTCTATTGGACACCTCAAGTCACTGGATCACGTGCACAAGTTTTAAGAGCAATGCAAACTGCTGGTGTACCCTACCTGGCCACTTGCATGTGAGATGGAGCCTCATTCAGGCAGGACATTGGGGCACATTTCTACGTCTGATAGCAACCATCCACTGCAGCCACAAGGTCTGGCATTGTTCAGCAGCTGGATTCATATGTTGGGGTAGCAGCACCTCAGCATTTCTCCCAGCCACGCTCTGGAGCATGACTAAGTACCACCTGGCACCTAGGTGGTTTAGATGAGAGTGCCAATGGGCTCAAGGCTGTGCTCCAAATTCAGGATAGAACTACCTGGTGGGTCCCTCTCACTGTGCAGCAGTGGGGAAAGGAGGAAGGTTGCATGAGGAATGGGATGAAAATCCATCCTTTATAACTGCAATGCCATGGTACATGGGAGGAAGCGGTGAAATTGGGAGACATCCAAAGATAGGTGCTGACCTGAATTAGGGCTGCAGGAAAATTTCCCCATGTGGGGACTAAAAGTCCCACTAGTTTAGAGTGGAAACTAGTGAAATGCCATGTGATAGAGACGTGCAGAGCAATGCCTGGCTCAGAGATAAGTCTGTTCCTTTGCTCACCCCCTCACAAGATGTTCAAAGAAATGGAAAGACAACTCATTTCAGACTGGTAAACTGACATACTTCTCACAGAGCCAGGAAACTGGTTTGTGCAGGTGGACAAGATGCCCTATTGGCCAACAGTTTCAGAGGGCTCACAGGGGATCAGGTATTGACATGAAAAACAAGGATACCCAAAACTGAAGTTAGAAAGTCTGGCTTAAATAAGATAGAAAATGGCATGATTCTTGGACATCAACTCTAGAGTTTCGGTAAAGAATGGCGGGAAGGAGTTTCCATCTTTTTTCTGTCCCCTCTTTGAAGCTGATGTTGGCAGTATTATTTATGTCAGGAGGACTGACTTTTCAAGTCAGGGCCTTGCAGCAGCACTACTGGCATGGCTAAGAGTATAGCACTTCTCCCTCATCCCATCTCCAAAGCACTGTCAGGGATGAGGTGCAGGTCACCTGTTTCTGGGCGCTGGTCCTGACAGCCACTGCCAAAGCTGTGGGAAAATAAGCCATGCCCCAGGAGGCTGGTTACAGAGCTCCTCTCTCGTGCCAGGGTACTGAAATGTGAGGGTGGAAAGTACAGGATTGATGGTCATGTGAAACTGTCCATCTCCCTCCGTCCCTCAGTCCCTCCCTCCATCCCTCCTTCTGCTGCTCTGAGTCCCCTGAGAAAACCTATGGAAATTCATAAGTCCTCTGAAATAGCCAGCACTAAATGGGTCCTCCCTTGTGTTTGGGTGTTGAACCATGAGTCTCCCTCCCTCCTTATGTTTCTCTCAAAAAGGCATTCAAGAGCCCTGAGCTGGGCAAGGGCTCCAGGGGATGGACCGGGTGTGGGACAGGGGCTCAGCCCAGCTGCTGCCTCCCCTGGCAGCCTGCTCTGGGATGGCTTGTCTACCACAGAGCTGGCAGCAGGAGAGAGCCGTGGGTGTGCCAGTGTGCACCAATGCAGCCTCTGGGTGGATGGGGCTTGAACACATTTGTGTGTTTTGATAACTCTGCCAGTGTGGAACTACCAATCAGCACTACTTGCACAGGCACCAGCTGTATCTTCTGCACAGCTCCTTTGTCCTCTCCTTCACTGCTCCATGCTGCCTGTCCTCCCCCGTGCTGCCTCCGACATGCTGTGCTCCAGTACTGCCTGTACAAGCCTCTCACATGCCCGGGCACAAGCTCACTGCATGTGCGCCCATCAGTGCAGCTACTTGTGCTGAATGTCCCCTCCAGCTACGCTGCGTGAGCTGAAGTATTTCGGAAGCTCATTCCCACCAAATGGGGTGGGCAGAAGGGAGAACCAGTGTATACATCCATGTAATCCAAAATAGAAGCAGATCCCATCGGGGTGGGAACACAGTACTGGCATGAGTGTTGTTCACAGCCATCCTCTGCTGAGGTGGGTGTCTTGGAGTCTGGCTGTAAGAACATGCCCTAAATAAGCTGTACTCAACCCTTAGGAGTCTTGAACATGTTTTATGGTGATGGGTGGTGTTGAAGAACATTTTCCTCTGAATAGCGTCATGGAGCAGCAACGTAATACGCTCAAAGTCATGCATTAATTTAAGAGACAAGTAAGACATTCACCGTCCGCCCCCATGCCATGCATCATGGCTGCAACCAATGCCCAGTAAACATCAAATCCTCCATCAGGCTGTGGTCATCCCCTGGGAGCACAACTTTTGCTGCTTGGTCGCTTCAGTTGGATTCACTGCAGCACTAGCAGAGGCCCAGGGTTGGGTCCTGCTGCCACTGTGGCAGGGCTGGACAGCCACATGCTGCTCTCCTGCTCTTGTGGTAGCTTGGAAATGCACATGCTGGACAGCATGAAGGAAGCTGGGGCTATGGCTGCTTACCAACACCAGTGAGCCTACCCCTGGGTGGATCAGCACTTCTGGTTAAACGGGTCACTGCCCTTCCTCTTTGGGCCTTCCCCGTCATCACCGAACGAGACTGCCACTGAGATGAGTCAAACCGTCAGACAACATCTGCACCCTCTGCACACCCCGTCCATGCGCTTGGATAGTTCAACTGGTGGGCTCAGCCCAGGCAGCGGAAGCAAAGAAACCCTTGTTGACTGGAGGGTGAAAGGCAACTGAGCCTTTTCTGTGTCCCAAGTGCTGCTGGGTGATCTGGTCCACTCCTGACCATTTCCCAGAAGCTAGACAGGGCTTGTGAAGACAGCAGTGAGAGAAAGTTTTGCCTTAAATAGATATACCAGGGTTTGGGATCTGCTAACCTGGAAACTCCTGTAAGTGCACACCTGAGTACTTACTCATGAGCTGCAAAGTCCTTACCAGGAGAGGATTAGAGGTTGCTCAACTAATTACCCAACCAGTCTATTTGTAGAGGACAAGAGCATGTGGTTCACCTCTTCAGAATAGCCTGGAGTGAACTCTAATAAATCTGTAGCTTGACACAGAAAATCCAGTATGTGCTGGAAGTCTGACCCTGACAACCTCCTGCCAATGCTTCAGCTGAGAGCTCTAGCCAGGCTTGCCTTCCCTCTCCAGTGGGGTCAGATGTACCCCAGCTACTTGGAGCTTGTTGTCTATATCTGGAAAGCTAACACATTTGGCATTTTCTTTCTATAGCTTTCTTCTTTTAAAATATGGACCAAAGAAAGCATTACTAATGACATTCAAAAACCCCTCCTTAAAACTGGCAAAGCCAAGTACCAAAGAGCTAGGAATTGCCAGAAATGGGTTTGCCTGGGCAGCCTAACTTCCACTGTCTTGTGTATATGATCACTTCCTGCATTTTGCCCTGAACTACCACCTCTTCAGCACCCAGGCTGGACCTTGCCTGGAGGGAGCGCTGGTCAGCTAGGCTGCATCCTTTCTTAGCAGGGGTGGGAAACTCCTATGCAACTGGTGAAGCAAGGGACTGCAGCAAGAAAGGAGGGTGTCTTGGTAGACAGTTGGTGCCTCCCTGGAGAGCTGGGTCTGTGTCTACCCCTGCCTCGAAGTTACTCTGTGAGTCGGTGAGCCACATAAGCAAGAGCTTTCACAGGAGCAGCCACGTCTTCCTCATTTGGCAGAGCTGCTTTACAGAAGTGCTAAAAGTTTGCAGCTGCAGTCACAGGCATGAGGATCTTAACTTAATTTGATTAAATTAAGTGTTATATAGGGCCAAAACCACTGAAAAATTTAGATCCTAGTTGGTTCAAAACATGTTCAAAACAAAATGAATGAGTACTTATGACCTAAATCTCTCTTCGTCTCTTCTTTTGCACCTGTTAAATAGGGATAACTCCACCTCCCATCCCGAACCTGAAAAGGTGGCTGAGAAGATAGATTAATTAATAACCCTGAAGAGCTCACTCAGCACTGAAGCAATGAGCACTAGAAAGAATCCATGAAGAAATGGAAAAGCAGGATGTTGGAGCAGACTCTGACTGCAGGACAGCAATGAAGGTAACACAGCCATCCTAGGGAAGAAACTTTAGCTGGTCATGAAGTTACAGAGCACAGCATGTTGGTTGATGTGAGGGTGTAAATGCAGTGTGTTTAAGGGAATTAAGTCTGGGATTTCCATAGTTTTGAGCACTTGATTTATGGTACTTGTCATTTATCAGACATTCAGGGTGTAAAGTACCTGTTTCCTGTCAGGTTGCGTCCAGTAAGGATTGAAAGCGTTGGTGTGATGAGTGTTTTCTCTCTGTTGGGTGGGATGAATTTGGTGGGACAATGCTTGAGCAATCCTGGCACAACCTCCCTCTCACACTCACTCCGTCAGCCAGGATGAAATAGCCCTGGTGACTGAGCCAGGGGAAGCTGCCCACATCACAGTCAGGACCAATAGATGCTGACAGAGCAAGACATGGAAGAAGCATCTGGTTGAGAGCAGGGACTTTGTTCAACATAGACATTTGCTTAACATCTCTTATCAGCACTGATTTCTACACACAGGTCTTCAAACTCATGATAAAGAGTGATAAGGAAATTGCTGCAATTGTCCTAATATTGTAAGAAATTATTTGCATAAAATGCTACATGTGAAGGAGAAACAACCTCAGTGGTTTACAGGAGGCTGAAGTTGGTAGCTGCTCTAGCCTTGATTTTTAAATAGCCCTATGCACTCAATGGTTGTGCAAACAAGATGAGTGAGATGGATGGGGTGAGATGCAGTTTTGAATGTTGCTGTCATAAGCCTGCAGCAAGCGAGAGGGCTCGAAAGGAAACTCCTGCATGCACCTGTGCTGAGGAAGCTAGCTGCACAGGAGGACATGGACTTTGGAGGCAAAGGTGCTGGGAGCCCTTTTTTTTTATTATTATTTTTTTTTATTTTATTTTTTCCTTATTTAAACCCTGGAAACATAACTCATAATATAATCCATCCTACAGAGGCAGGATTCAACCTCTGCCCTCTCCTATAGAGGTTTGTTCCCAGCCACTTCATGTGGAGGGCTTCAATCCCAAGGTCTTCCTATGCTCATCTTGCTTTGAACCTCAGATCTGCACCTTTCCTGCTGCAGTTGGAGCCTTTTGCTTCTTACCCTGCTCTGGCTGCACAGAAACTAATTGACCACCCTTTCCATTACAACATACAAAAGACTGCCTTCCTCCCCACCCACTTCCCACCCTCAAAACTTCTCTTTTCTAGGCTAAATGGACCCAACTTCTTCACTCCTTTCTCTTAGGGCAATATTTCTATGTATTTATCCTTTGTATTGTTTTATTCTGGACTATTCCACTTCTGGATCTGGGACTCTGAATGGGTCCTGGCCCTGCACAGGCAGTACAAGACAGTGATCTCCCCTGCCTTGTCCCTGCACCCCAGGCCAGTACCCAGCTCCTTTGTAACTCCTCCGTGCTGCTGGCAAAGCTTTGGTTTTCAGTGCTCTGCAACCCCCGGATTTTTCCCTGCTATTCTGCTGCCCTGGTCGGTTATTCCCCAGATCTTTTCCCTACATCTCGTTTTGCTTTACATTTGCATTTGTTCTTGCTGAACTGCATCTTGCTGCTTTCAAACCATTTCTTAAGCAGTTGAGATCACATTAAGCCCAGCCTCCAGAGTCCCTGGAGTCACTCTGTCCCGGGAGAAAAGGACTCCCTTAAGCCTGCTGTTATTCAGACAGGACAAACACAGGACTGGATGGTCTCATACTTCCTCTAAGACTCTCTGGAACTATCCCTTCTCCATCAAGCTGCTGGTATGGGAGCAACCTAACACTTGTGGGTTCATCCAATGCCACTGACAGTGATTTCACTGCTACTGTGATCAAGATCAAGAAACCTAAATGATTCCAGAGAGAAACTCAGGGGATGTTATTCACTGTGAATTTAGTCACCTATGTCAAGCACCAAGATTAGGAGACTGCATCCTGAGGCTCCCCCTCATAGCAGGGGAGAGCCTGGGGAGGGGCAGCAGGAAATCAGCTCCCCAGCCTGCAGCAGGTGCCGAGGGCAGCTCCCACAGAGCTGTGAGCAGGTGCTGGTGGAGCCATATGGTGGTTTCTGCTGCTCTGCATTGGGGGAATGCATCTCTGACCAGAGGAATGGCATGGGGCACTGCCTGTGAGGAGACAACGTAGGTCCTGCCGAGTCCAGAGGAGTGAAGGCTCTGCCATCTTTCTACCAGGAAATACTGTCTCACAGCACACTTATTCACTCATAAGTGTCAGGAATTCATTAGCATCATAGCTAGCTTGAGGCCAAGGAGTGTGTTTGGGCAAAGTAGGAAAAGGGATGCTCTCTTAGTCCCACTCAGCAAGACCGACTGTCCAAGGCCTCTCCTCTGCTGTCACTCTCTCCTGAGGTGTCTCCATCAGCTGTCAATAAAAGCCCAGCTCTGGGCAAACCAAGGTGCAGCTCAAAACTTTCCTCCTGTGGATCAAAGAATAGCTTTTGCTGTAGACACATTCTGGACAGTTTTGCACAGACTGTCCAGCTCCTGCCAGGACACCCAGCTTCCCTGCATCACCTCCTGCCAACACACCACCTTCCCTATTGCCTCCTTTCAGTTACTGGCCTTTCTAGATACAAAAGGAAGGAATTCAGGTTTTTTGCCCAATAATGGAACATTGATATTTTACTCTGAGGAAGGAGCTCCCTCCATCCTGCCCTAAGCAACAGCAGCATGCAGAGCAGGATGGGCCAGGCAGTCTCTCAGACCCACTCGCCAGCAGAGGAGTGTGGTTTCCTCAGGAGAGTGGGAATCCAGCACCGTGCTTCCTGGAAAGGAAATGCCACTCAGAGTTGCAGAGTTCAGAGGAAGTGTAGCAATGCAGCAAGCGAATGGATCCTTCAACAGTTGTGCTGCTATCTGTTGCCTTGGGACTCAATGCCCCTCATCTCACCGATGCCTCTGGCTACTCCATTCCTGGAGCTAGCCACACCAGAAGAGCCCTGCCTGCTACAGGGGGCTGTACTGCCAGGAGATCAGGTCCCTCAGCGTGGTTCATGCCCAAGCAACCAAACCCTTGCAGCCATGTTAGAAAATGTGGCAGATCCTAACATTTCTCTACAGCTCACCGGGGGAAAAAATACACTCACAGCTGTAAAATGTTCAGATAGTAGAGGCAAGGGCAGAGCACCAGTGTCACAGGATGTTTCTAAAGAGGGAAATGGGTGAAAACAGAGCAGTTTTGCTACTGGAGCTAAGCCAGGCAATTTCACCAAGCTACCCAGACTGCAGCCAGCCCCAAGCGGTTCCTCTTCAGCCCCACATTTGTCCATGTGTTGGCTCTATGAGTCGTGGCAAGGATGGGAAGAAATGCCAGCAATGCCCATGCGAGTCTGCACTGTGCTCCAAGCACGTGTGCTTTCTGTGCTGCAATGTGGCTGCAAACCCAAAGCTGCCAATACTCTTGCTGTAGTGACCACTGCATCTCAAGTGCTCTTGCTGATGCCCTGCTGCTGAGACTTGCTAGCGGCTCCTCCTTTCGGCAGGAGAAACTCAAACAAAATACCAATATGCAACAAAAACCAGTAAGGAGGAACTGGGAATTGCTGCTTTCCACAGGAGAGGGTTACTGTGGATAGGTTCATGCCTGTTTCTATATCTGCTCCTTATGGCGCAAGCGAAAACAAAGTCACTCCAAAGATATGTGCTCCTATCTGTGGGTAGAGAGGCTGTGTTGGCACATGGCCCTGGTTCATCCTGCTGGATCTGGTAACATGAGCAGATCAGAAAATAAATGGTCCCTGATTTAACACTCCTGCATTGTCACCTCCAGAGCCACTAGCACTGAAGCACTGCTGTCCCAAGGGCTGCTTGCATGTCTTCAGTCTTCAGTCTGAGGTTTGTGCTAAGGGTGGAAGTAGTCCCACAGAGCACAGCCCAGGGAACAAACAAAGGGATGCAAAGCAACTTCTCCTTGCTGCTGTCTGCACCAGCTGATCCATAGATCATCTATGGCCAGGGTAATTTGTCTGCCAGGGTTAACGACCCTTACGGGCTAGTGGTGACATACTGTTGAATGCTCTAAAGTGCTAAATAGCTTTGCTTTATAGGAAATACTAGTCCTATCAAATCCAGTCCAAAAGTTCTATGATCCTGAGCCTTCTTCTTAGATAGGACTGGTGCTTCATCGCACCCATGCAAGCTATCCACACAAACAGCATTTATGTGGCACCTGCTGAGGGTGTCAGGGATGGCAGGAGAGGGTGGGTGGGTTGTGGGAAGGTGGGTGGCTGCCTGGGAATTTCCCCAGCTGGCTTGGGGTGGCCGAGGCTGCCTGGGCCTGGACTGACCCCCTGCCTGCATGGGGCTGGCACGACATGCAGTGCCCCTGGAATTTCTGGGGCCCCCAGCAGCACCTCCTCCGCACTGCCCTCCTTTGAGGGTCCAAGTTTCACAGCCAGAGCTGGGGCTTTTCTTCCTTTCCATCTCTGCTGTTTGTCTCAGAGAAAACCCATCTTGTTGTTTTTCAACTGCCTGAAGGTGTTTTTCGGGGGTTTTTCAGGCTATTTTGAAGTTCATTTTTCCCAGATGTGCTTTTTTTTCTTCTTCTTTTTAATTAATTTTTTTTCTTCTGTAACTTTTCTTCTTTGCCCTAAAGTTTCCGGCCACGTGACTTTCAGCTTACATCCCCGAGGTTCTGAGAAACCACAGGAGGCTGAGACCTAAAGGGAAGGTGCAGAGGCTCAGAGGAGAGGCAGCGAAAGTGTAGGGAGTGTTGGGCAGAAGCACAGTGTGTCTCTGGGACAGGTGAGAGCAGGGAAGCCAAGGGCCATCTCAGAGGTGACGGAGGAGGGCAGGAGAGAGGCAGAGAAGCAAGACAGAAGGCAGGAACACCAAGAGCACAAAGAAAGCTGAAGAGACCCTGGGAGCCAGAGACAGGAGCCATGCCCCACAGCTCCGACAGCAGTGATTCCAGCAGCTTCAGCCAGTCTCCCCCTCCCAGCAAGCAGGTAAAGCAGGGACCTTCCCCAGGTCTCCCCAGATGAAGAGTCCTTTGGCATGGGCCGTGGTTGGGTGGGAGGTAGGGTGGCACCCACCGTTGGTGTTTTCACAGCGCAATATGGCAGAGCTTTCTAAGAACGGCTGTGGGGAGAGGGATCCAGGGCTCAGCTGAGGGCCCTGGCAGGAGCCTCAGCCACTGAGGAGGGTAAAGGAGGAGAGAGAAGGCCTGGTTACCTGGTGCTACGCCAGGAGCAACTGGGGGGCCAGGATATAGTAATTGGAGTTGGATCAGGGGTTGGACTTGATGATCTTGGAGGTCTTTTCCAACCCAATCTATTCTATGATTCTATGATTCTATGACCCCAGGCATGGTGGGTCCTGCAACACATGCCAGGCAGGCAGGAAGCTTCATCATGAGAGTTGGTGCTCTGGCAAGGAGCCTGAGCAGGCACCTCCTGGCCATGAGCTGGGGCAGCTCAGGGGCAGCCTGCCTGCTTCCTGCTCTTGTGAACAGCTTTTGGGACTCAGAAAAGCCCTGACACTTTGGGTCTGCTTTCTTTTCTGTTCAGCCTCAGAGATCTTTCATCTCAGTAATGCTTGACAGAGGGATTTTGTTTTGTTGCATGGTGTACTTTAACGCAGATCTTTTGCTGGCAGATACTGACACAAATCCAAGGTGTTCCCGCTGCCTTTTCTGGCTAAGCTTTATTATATCTGTCATTTGCCATTTCTCTAAGGCTGGCAACAAATGGCAAGTACCTGAGATTTTGCTCAGAAATCTTGGGGATGATCAGAGCAGATGATTTTTGGCTTACAACCAAGGATGAGGAGGCATCCTTGTAGAGAAAGGGATAAAGCACAGGGTTTGCAAAAGGATGGGGACTGAACTTCATGAAGAACACGCGAGATGCTGTATCTGAGACGTTTTCAGGGTCTTCAAGCAACGACAAAACGGTTAAGTTCAAGGAAAAAAAAATCTTGGGCGGGGGGAGGGGGGAGAGGATGTGGACAGATTGATGGGCTGGGAAGATAACTTTTGTGGCTGACTTTTGTAGTCTTGTGGAGAAGTGGTGGTGTGAATGTTAAAGAGTCCACAAAAGGGGCAGTGCAGTATGAAAATAGAAGATGAAAGAGACTGTTTGACAGTTTCAACTGTCAGAAGGCAGTAGAAGGACCAGATCTCAGCAGAGAATGGCTGGTCTGTGAATCTCATGGCTTGGAGCCTGCAGATCTGTTCTCCCCTGCCCAAGGAAGTGTTACAGTCAGCACTGCAGGCAAGGGAATCCAGGAAAGAGCAAGCATAGAGACCAGAGAGCTGAAGCAATTGAGATCTGGGTTAAACCCAAAAGCTCTGAGTCTCTCTAGTCAAACAAAGCAAGGGCCACATTGCATTGAGAGGGTCCACAAAAAATAAAGCCTGAGGGAGGAGGGTGATGAAGAGGGGAGGAACTCACAGGGGTGAAAGGAGGAAAACACAGGTTGTATCTTTGGAGAAAAGGGTTTATCCAAGGATCTGAAATGTCCATGCTGCCATTACGCTGCAGAGAGACAGGGAAGGGAAAGGTTTTCTGTACAAGAATTCAAGTGTTTCTCTTCCGGAAGGAGGTCCTTACTCTGGTCCATCAATCCATATCCCCAGCCCTGGGTGTTAGTGAAGGGAGAGTGGTCATTTCCCAGGAGTACTGGGATGCCCAAGGGTATCAGATGTGCCCCTCCTGGCAACGAGGGTGCCAAAAGCATCACGTCCCTGGGCTATGGCTTTATCCTGGTATGGAGGGTGTGTATCTCATATCCTGTGCTTCAGTCATGTTATCTGCTGTGTTCCTTTCCCACTTACTGCCCTGCAGCAGAAGGGTGAGGGAGGGAACGCCCCAGTTATTTCTATGGCTTGTTTCCCTAGGATTCTTCTGATGATATGAGAAAAGTCCAAAGGAGGGAGAAGAATCGTATCGCTGCCCAGAAGAGCCGCCTGAGGCAGACCCAGAAAGCGGACACACTGCACTTGGTGAGCACTCCCACTCTTCTTTTTCCTCAGTACTGAGGGCTCACATAGGACACAATGTGCTTTTCCCCTGTGGCTCGGAGTGGAGATGCTCAGTGGAGGCAGGACAAGAGAATTGAGGCCAGGGCAGGATTTAGGAGTTAGCACTTGCAGTGAGAGCACACAGCCCAGGACGACTGCCATAGAAGCATTTAGTTTTGCCCCTAGTTTTGAATCCATCTTTATCTCTCAGTCTTTCATTACTGATTTCCTTTTCCAGCCTCTTCTGACTGAGTCACTCAGAAGCTCTTTGAAAGCACAGTCTCACCTGGGCTGAATCTCCCTGGGTTTGTGATTCATGCCATCATTTATGCAGAGATGTAACAGCATACAAGGGTGCTTTTCTGTGGCACTATGGGTACCTTTGCAGCTCTTCTTGGTGTGAGGAATTAGATGTCTGCTTTTCAGAAGAGATGGCCACTTCTGGCTATGTGTGTTTGGGCAGGAGCATGTGGTCAGTGTCAGAGCACAGGGGCTGGGATCTTTTGAGTTTTGCACATTGGTTAAGTGCAATCCCATATGTTTTGGACTACTGGCAGGCAGGATGAATAACACACAACCTGCACTGAACAGAGACCGTCTTTATCCCTGCACTAGGTTGGCTGTCTTTTGAAAAGTAGTAGTTGAGCTCATGTTCAAAAAACCATCCTTTGACTCAGCGGTCTTCATATTCTCCCATATCCAAATTTTTGGGATTAATTCTTGAGAATCCAGTCCTGAACATTCCTCCTTACATAGTGGCCTCAGCCCATGGTTGGAGCTGAGTTTAAGACAGAGATTTCACTCTTTTCTCAGTCAGTCGTGATTGTTCTAGAGCTGACATGGCTCTAGGCTGGTTGCATTACATCTTCCAGCAGCAGTGGCTCTGGGTGACTGTGCCTGAGGGGTGTGACGAAAGACCCTTTCCTTGGGGTCAGCACTCTCTCCAAGGTAATCCTAGAGGTAGATATGGTTTATTCATAGGATAAACCCTTTGTTCCGTCCCCAGGAAAATCCCGCCTAGCTGTGCACCAAGAATTGGACTGCTTTTCTTAGAGCAGATAACAAACCATTTGCATATGAGATTACTATTACTCAGCTGACATTGATAGCACACAGTCCTTGCCTTCCCATGGGGATGGAAGCAACAGGGCCAAGTCCTGGATCCTCACAGGCAGATGTAAAAATGCAGAGAAGCAAGTAGAGGATGGATGGTGAGTTTCTGCTAGGTTTTTTTTCCATTTCCTGCTGGATAGTGAACTCCTGCTGCTCCTGGGTTTATTCCCTGAGTACTCTTTGCCTTTGGTCAGTTCTGAATCAGGGACTTTGGTTCTTTGATGTGGTTCTACCCAGAAGAGCATGGCTCAGCTTGAGCTATGGTAGTATGAAAGGAGCCAGCAGCTCCATCTGCCCCAGGGTTTTGTAGTTTGTGTTTTGAGAGGAATGAGCCATGGGGATGCTGGGGCTCCCAGCCCCGGGTGATTCCCATCAGTTCCTGAGTTCGACAGCAGTCATGATTTCCAAAGCATTTGGTGATGTCCTTGAGATGCTGTGTGAGCTCCTGCAGTGACAGCAGCTGTAACTGGTAGGTGCATTTCAGCTGTGTGCAGAGAGCAGGTGCCCTTAGAAGTCAGCATGGCAGCAGAGGGGCGAGCAGGGGGATAACATATTCACTTTGGCAAGGTAATGGTGCAGCTTTCCAGGGCCTCAAAGTTCTGGGTCCCACTTTAGCTGTCTCAGCTGAGTTTGCAAAGCCTGCTGATGCATCCTACCTCCCTCCTCTGGTCCTGCCCAGGCTTCTGGCTCCATGGTCAGTTGGTGCCTGCGATGCTCCAAACTGGAGCTGGCTGAACTTCAGAAGGCGAGGTGGCAAAGGCTTTGGTGCTCTCAGTATCATTGAGACGAGGCTGAGCATCTTTATTAACCCCTTTGTTGTTATTCTCATTAGTAACAGTAATAATTCAGTTCTTCTGAGGCCTCAGTTTCTCTTTTCTTCTGACTCAAGTGTCTCCCCCTCCTCCCCACCGTGCCACTGCTTTCCCCAGCTGCTAGCAGGAAGCAGTGAGTCTCTTCTTTCCAGGGCAATGACAGGTTTCCTGTGACAGGTGGTTTTCTGGTTAAAGACGGCGGTTATTCAGCTCGCTCTCCCCCGGGGGCTGGGCTGCCCGGGAAGCACCCGGAGATGTGCGTGTGCATGAGAGGGAGCGAGAAAGCCTGGGCGGCAGCAAGCCACAGTCACTTCTCGTAAGCCGGCACTGGGGAGCATGTCTGGGGCCTCCGGCATTGCACTTGCACCCGGCCTGGCCAGCTGGGGGAGGAGGGTTTGCCCAGGCGAGGCTCTGTGACGAATTTACCAGAAATATGTCGTTCTGGAAATTCTGTGGGGCAGAGAGGTGCAGGACTGCAACCCCCATGTCCTTAGCTCATCCCTGCGGCTCCCACACTGAGGAAGCCCCTGTGGTTTTGTGTCCTCAGGAGAGCGAAGACTTGGAGAGGCAGAACGCTGCCCTGCGCCGGGAGATCAAACAGCTGACAGAGGAGATGAAGCACTTCACCTCGATGCTGAGCTCCCATGAACCACTCTGCTCCATCCTGACATCCCCTCCACCACCTCCAGAAGTGCTTTACGCCACACACTCCTTTCACCAGCCCCACATTGGCTCCCCACGCTTCCAGCACTGAGCTGGAAGTAGGATGGCAGCCTGCCAGCTCCACTAATGTCAAGAAGTAACTTTGTGGGGCTCGCTTTTCCATCCAAGGGAAGGAATTGGGCACTTCTTAAAGTGTCTACTCTGAGTGACTTGCCTAAGACTTAGTCCCTATGCAGAAATGGCAGAGCCACCACAAAGCATCTTTGGACAGTTTCCAGCTTGGATCCTGGGAAGAGGAGGCAGTCACAAAAGGGCACCAACCCCCTTCTCTGGTGCTTGTTTGGGCACACTCACAAGAGCGTGCAGCACTGACAGCCTCCATAAGCGTGGCTGGATGTGACACACAACAGCCGGAGCTACAGGAAGAGGAACGGGAGCAGGGGTGGAGGAGAAGGTTGGGGGCCACATAGTATCAGGGAAAAAGTGGTTTATTTTTGTAAAATAAAGGTTGAAATTCTTAACTCTTTGTTTCCAAAATAAGACCTGACTCAATCCTGACATGAAACAGTGAAGACGCAGGCAGCAGGATGGGGAGAGCTTGGAGTGTTGCACGTACAGAGGTATAATCCAAGGCCAGCAACTGCAGCCTCATATTTAGAATGGGGGCCCATGTGCATAGGCTGGGCAGGCTGAGGAGCAATGGTTTGTGGGGTGATGGGGTCCCTGGGGAGGATGGGTCCCTTCTTGCTGCAGGGCTGGACTTGGCTAATGAATCTGACATGCCACGTAACATCACAGATCTCTACTGACCCTCTTGGCTCCCTGCTACTGATGGCTATGCCTCCACATGTTCCCCTTGCATGTATGGAGGGGCACTGCCATGTCATGTCAGTTCACAGGCAGCTCTTGGTGGGCTGGTGGAGCCCTCAGGCATGGAGGCAAGTGCTGTGCTGGAGTGCAAAGGAGAAGCAGGACCTAGCAGGACTCTTGTTCCAAGGCACCCTGATAAGGTATGCAGCTGTAGCCTTTGCTGTTTCCCCTTGCCTGCCAGTCACAGCTCCAAAGACTCCTGCACTACCTCATGCATTGAAACAGATGAAACCTGAAAGGTCAGAGAAGATTAGGTTGGTATTGCTGGGTCTGATCTACTGGAAACACAAGCTGGTCTGTACAGATGGTCTCTGTGCCTTACACCCCACCAGCCAGCAGTCACCTACTGGCCCCACTTTATACACAAAGCTGAAGCCCACCTGCCAGCGCAGGCCCTGTTGATGATGTGGCTCAGGACTGCTGCCATCTTCAAGGAGCATCAGCTGCAATTTTTTCAGCAGAGTACTACAAGCAGTGCTGCTGACATGGGCTTTTAAATGAGATAAATAGGCTCAATTTGTAGATATCCTTCTTTCAGGCACAAAGAAGCAGCATATTTCATGGGATTTGGCCCATCATCATAGCCCACAAGAGCTGTTGGATAAGTCTGTAATGTGCTGTGCTGCACTCATTTTCTCTCCGATTTGCACTAGCAGGAGGATAACCAAATACTGCCATGCCTCAGCAAGCTGTCCTCAGGAGAGGCACAGGTAGCACTGCAAATTCTCCTTCCATGATCTGTTCAGGGGCTTGTGAACTTTCTGCCTCCAGCTTCTGTGCCAGCATGGGAAGCGCCTTGGTCATAGACACCTAATGTCAGCACGTAGGCCGGGGGCGTCACCACTCTACAAAAGCAGTGCTGAGGCAATGGGCGATTGCACTGGCCCTCCCTGCCTGTGCGGGTCTGCCCCCTGCCCCGAGGGGGATGTGCATACACAGGGAAGGATGGTGGTTATTCCAGCCAGGCAGCTGGGTGTCTGCATACAGGTCACGCAGAATACATCTACAAGAACAATTTCAGTGTCTTACACCACCAATAGGCTTCACTCCATCCACTGATCCAACAAATAGAGCTGCTGATCCTTGCACAAGCCATGCTTTGAGTCACTCAGGCTACACGGGCCCTTCCCAAAGTGCTTTTCTCTGGGATTTGTCCTTTTAAGCCTGAGAGAGACAACTGATCCCAGCTCTAGAGGTCTTTGTCTTTACAGGCTCTGCTTCTGCTCCTTCAGCCTCTGGTGGATTTTCTCCTGGATTTTTCACTTGCTGTTCCTTAGGGCTCTGATGCTTCCATGTTTTCTGGGTTACAGTCAGAGAAAAAAGCTACGGCTACCTTTCCTGGGGTTTGCTGTGGAGGGAACTGCAGGCTCATGCTCCTCACTGGAGGATGCAACAGAACCCTAGCAAAGCTTGCACTGACAACACAGTATCACCTACAGCAAGAGATATCCATCCTTGCTGCGCCCTTTGTGTTTTCTCACGGCTATGAAATGCTAAGCTTGGTTTTAGCTGCAGATGAGGAGGGTCCTACACTGATGTATATGTCAACTCTGCCCACGCAGACATGAAGCCAATATTTTTGTTGCAGAGCTGTCGAGGTCTGAGATCCTTCATGCTGGGTGGGGTTCACATAATGCCCTCAGAATTGCTAGACTACTCACTGGTAACGTCTCAGACTTATTACTGCGACTCAGAACGAAAATAAGCGGTAAGTGGTGAGACTGGAAGACGGGTTTGCAACAACATCCTCTCCAAAACCTAAACAATATTCTTGGCATCGTCAGTTAAGCTGTCCCTCCTCTGCATGGCTGGCTGTGAGCTGGAAGGCCTCCTAGCAGCAGCGCTATGCTCAGCCGTTTTAGCCAAACACTGGGTGTTCGCTGGTGCTAGGAGACATATCTTCCAATCTGACTTGTCTCTGCCCCGGTCTTGCCCTCAAAAACCTGATCACAGAAGATGATCTGCACAGTTCAAGCCTGTTTTGACTTCTGTTTGCTTATAGTGATTGCGAGGTGTCTCATAGGCAGTCTCTGTTATGAAGAATAGGTCTCCTGGGGGAACTTCCTTATCACAAAAGCAGCATGGGACAACATATCCTTTCAGGGCCATCAGCCCTTTCAAACAGTGGCTGAGAAAAAGATCTTTTCCTGAGGCTATTTGCAGAGCTGCACAAAGCTGCTTGTTTAGGCTGTGTGAGGAGATTCTTTCACTTCTGTACAGGTGCTGTCTCCTGCTTCTTTTTCCTGGGCTCTAGGCCTCTACAATCCACCCTTCACACAACTTCTTTTAGATTTCTGAGTAGCCAAGTGCTTGTCCTTTGATGTGGCCCTCTCTGTCCTCAAACGAACTAAAAGATGAGCCTAAAAGAGGAGCAAAGGGCAGGGAGGTGGCCAGGACAATCATCCCCGATTGCTGTCAATTATCTGCTCCTACCAGCAGTGCATTTCCTTTCAAAATTCATTTCCATGGCGTCTGGCATTTCTCAAGTGTTGTATTATCTGGCCATGCCCAGCCTCCAGGACCACTGTGGTGCTGGCTGTTCCAAGGGAAGGGGATGCTTCTGGGAACACAACTGGATAAACCGGGTGATGGCTGGTCCTGTGGCAGCCTGTCCCTACTCCAGCAGGATGTCACCGCCTGTCTGTTGCATTATCCGTCCCTTACTGAAAACCTCTCTCGAAGCAGTATATAGATGAGGGCTCAGAGGAGGCTGAGAGACTCTTTCCCAGCCGGGGAAGGCCAGTGAGGGAGAAAGACAGCTCCTCTGCTAGCACAGCCTGCCGAAACACTGTGTGCGTGCTGACCTCTGCTGGGCAAAAGCTGAGCGCTCCCAGCCTGCACCTGCACGCTTCTTGGCAGAGCCGGTTTGAAGGTTGTTAGCCTGGCTATTGCCAGACTAGAGGGAGAACTGAGAGGCTCAAGGCTAATGTGTGTGATGGCAAGGGTTGGGTAAGGCTGCCTGAAGGGGATGTCCGTGTCCCAGTGGAAGAGCGAGTCTATGGTCTCCCTTAGCCAAGGATCTTGTTCTTGGTCCAGGGACCTGTTCTGCTTTGTGGTCCCAGCATGTTTCTGCTGTTGGTGAGGGTATGGGGATCTTGCTTTGGTGTTCCCCACCTTCACCAGCTCTTGAGGGGCTTACAGAGCTGTTTGCAGGCATCACTGTGCTGGATGTGGGGGCTGAGCCTGAGAAGCATCACAGGTGAAGGGAGCTACTTGCTAAAATAAACAGATCTGACTGCAGCCCTGATTAACCATAATCACTTCACCAAGACCTGAGATAAGACTGGTGGATTTCAGTGTTTTGACATCCAGGAAGGCTTTTGTAGAAGCACTTGGGCTGTATTTGTGCCCAGCAGACATGTTCCTGTGGCTCTGCTGCAGACAGGACAGTCAGCCAGAACCGAGGGCAGGTGGAATGTGACACTGGGAGGCAGCTGCTGAGGGTCCTTTTCAAGCCTTAGTGACCGTGTCCTCCACATTCATTTGATGACTGGTGTCTCCTCTGCAGAGAAAACAGAGATGCGTGGCCAACATCTGTTTATACAATCAGAGGGTGGAGAAGGCAACCAGGGAACAAGAGAGTTACATTTTCCTTTATGGCCTTTACCGAATTTCAATACCTCCCATGGATCAAGGCATCCTGGCAACTGTGCAGAAGAATAGCAAGTTGCAAAGCACGGAGGGTTTTATAACTTTCTCCCTTTCCGTCTCCCTAAAAGCACAGGCTCAGCACTTTACGAGCCCTCCGTATCAGCATTTCAGGCATGCTTTTATGGTAAGATAAATAAAGACAGGACATTCAGTGCTGACATAATCTTAACATATCTCTCCCGATGGGAAGCCCAGGGCAATCTTTTATGCCTGGTATTCCCTTTCTGCTTCATACTCCTCAGCTCAGCTGCAGGTTCCCAATATGGCAGATGGCAGGTGCCAAGGGACACAGAGCCAGCCAGCCCAGGGGAAGGTGCATTCATCCCATTGTATGGGGCTGTTATGAGCCCAGCTGTCATTACTGTGGTGCCCTTTCTCTAGATTGATTCGCATATGAATTTTTCCTCTTGAGGGGCAGAAGAAAGGTAATATGCAAGCACAGTTTGCATCGAGTCAGAAGAGAAGTAGAGGTACATCTTTAGTTTGACAGAGTAAGCAGCTCTGTTGCCCATTTTGCTGTGGCTCCAAAGTATGTATGTACTTGTTTTACATATCCCATCTCAGAATTCACTTCTGTTAGAGCTGCCAGCCTGCATCAGCAAAAGGATATCTCCTGCATGCTGGACCAAAGCAGAAGGCCACAAAAGAGACCCTCTCTCTGCATCTTACAATGATCATAGCGTACAAAGCAACACTTGTCATACAAGAATTGCTGCCTGGATGCTAATATGTCAGCACACACAGATTAAAGAAGATTGGGAATCACTGCTAAGAGACAAAGCATTTTTATAAATCACAAGCTGTCAAGAAGACAAAAAGCAAAGCATGGCATGAAATGGTGAGACTTTTCCTAGCAAACAGCACTGTGCTCACTTTGTCTGTGTTCTGCTGTGGTTTTGCCGCCTTATTGATTAGTGATCTGGAGGGGATTTGGGCAACATGTGTATACATAAAGTTTTTTTAGGCTAATCAAAAAATCTAACGAAC